AAACTTAAAATTCTCAATTGTACCTGATCAAGTTTGGAAGAAAATTGGAGTGAATGAATGAATGAATGAATGACTTGGAGATGCTGTTCTCTGGGAAGTGGTAGGAGACAAAGTTCATATAAATATGTCTAAAAATTTATTAAGAATTATTTCAATGCTAAGGAACAGCAAAATTTGCCTGTCAGACAAATATGGAATTCCCATTAAATATTGCTGCAGGATGTTAAATGATTTTAATATAAATTATGTGTATTTCACATAAATGCAAAATAACACTTAAAGTTTATTTTGATCCACACATTTGTGAAATGCTTGTTTAAACAAGAAAGGTTTCCATAGAGATTTCATAGTCTAAAAAATAATTTTCTGTTATTGCAAACCATAGGATTCCACATCTGGAAATGTTCCTATAAAACGATTTAGAATCAGAATCTACTTGTGATTTATTAAGGCTTTTACTCTACTTTCTTGCCATTCTTTAAAATCATCATTAGCTCTCATTTTAAAATCTGGTTGTAATGGTATTATTCAAAAACTTAGTTGAAGCTTCAGATTTATTTCTCTACTTCATATCAAGTTATCTGAGGAGACTGACCTTTATATTTCTGGTTATAATCATAAAATTCTTCCTGTTATTGGCATCCATATGTTTTCTATTTGTCTCTTAAAGCTATAGGTAGCTTAATTCCAATTTAATTTTTTTAAAAAATCAGCTTTATTGGAGAAGTCAATAAACTCAAAAACCTTAGGATTGCTGAGGCATATTTGAAATATTGATTTCAAAAATATTTTTTCTTTCCTCCCCACAGTGCCTCTCAATTTTTTTTTATTTTTTTTTTTTGCTGTAGGTTTCATAAAATATACCCTGATGCTTGTGCAGGTAACACAGTGGGACTTGCTGATTGCCAACTCCTGAGTTGTCTGCCCGTCTCGATTCTGCTCAATTTAACCACTGCCTTGAACACAGTCTATCACAATGTTCCTATCACCCGACTTCACGGGGTAGCACTGATTTCTCATCTTGCCTTCCATCTCGCCAATCGTCCCTTTCGC